GAAGGACACCAGAAGAGCCCTGCTGGACCAGACCAGGGAGGGTCCCTCTAGTCCAGCCTCCCGTCTCACACAGGGGCCAGCCAGTCCCTCCGGAGGGCCGAGGCCGAGGCCTTCCCCTGAGAAGGACACCAGAAGAGCCCTGCTGGACCAGACCAGGGAGGGTCCCTCTAGTCCAGCCTCCCGTCTCACACAGGGGCCAGCCAGTCCCTCCGGAGGGCCAGCAATAGGGCAGAGAGGCCGAGGCCTTCCCCTGAGAAGGACATCAGAAGAGCCCTGCTGGGCCAGACCAGGGAGGGTCCCTCTACTCCAGCCTCCCGTCTCACACAGGGGCCAGCCAGTCCCTCTGGAGGGCCAGCAACAGGGCAGAGAGGCCGAGGCCTTCCCCTGAGAAGGACATCAGAAGAGCCCTGCTGGGCCAGACCAGGGAGGGTCCCTCTAGTCCAGCCTTCCGTCTCACACAGGTGCCAGCCAGTCCCTCCGGAGGGCCAGCAATAGGGCAGAGAGGCCGAGGCCTTCCCCTGAGAAGGACACCAGAAGAGCCCTGCTGGACCAGACCAGGGGGGGCCCCTCTAGTCCAGCCTCCCGTCTCACACAGGGGCCAGCCAGTCCCTCCGGAGGGCCAGCAACAGGGCAGAGAGGCCGAGGCCTTCCCCTGATAAGAACCTCAGGAGAGCCCTGCTGGGTCAGACCAGGGAGGGTCCCTCTAGTCCAGCTTCCTTTTTTAAAAAAACGTTTTTTATTTTTTACATAAATCCTACAAAAGTACACTCTAACTAAAATTACAGCTACACAATGACCATATATGCTGTTAATTGTTATCTTAAGTCAGAATTTTTCTCTTATTCAGGTTAAGAATAAAAATTGCATTCTAATGTTTCAATATGCATAAAATTAAAATTGTTAACAATGCAAGATTATGTAATTTATGTAACATAAACATTTCTTCTTAAGTTTAAGCTATCTTCTGCTTTTCTTTCCTCTCTTCTTGCTTCTGTCGTCTCGGTGAGGTTTGGGTGCTGCTGCTCCCTATTATGATTCAGATTCTACTTCTGAGCTGCTGTCTATAGAAGTTTCATGGCTTTCCAAGCCATGCGTATTATCCACTTCTCCTTCTTCTTCTTCCTCTGTTTTCTTTGTATCTTTTTTGGGATCCTGATGTCTTTCCAAAAACTGCTTCGCTTTAATAAGAGAGTCAATCTTTTCTTTTTTGCCTTTGTAGTTGAACATCAAACCTTCGGGTATTATCCATCGGTAGGTAGTAGAGTTTTCCTGTAGATAGGTGGTTAAGTTCTTGAATTGTTTTCTCATCTTCCTTATCTCAAATGGAATATCTTTTAGGATTCTGATGTCTTCTTTAATTTTCAATGTAGTCCCAGATGTTGCCTTCAATATTGCATTTCTTATCGATCTCTTAGAGAATCTGATGTATATTTCACTAGGCAGGGGTTTTTTTCTTAATAAATTCTGAATACATCCAATAGGTCATATCCATTTCGCTTTGTAATACTTCCGCTTTGATGCCTGTCACTGGTGCAAGCGCTTCACTAAGAATTTCTTTCAGATTCTCAGATTTGTCTTCTGGCAGACTTTGAAATCTCAACACGTATGAATAGTTTTCCATTTGTAACTACAAAAGTAGAGTTTTATCTGAAGATCTTTCTTTTTCCACAACTTCCAGTCTTTGATCAATTGCTTTAGTCTTGTTTTCCACTTCTTCTGTTCTTTTATTGGAATTTTTTTTGCTGTTTTTGTAAAGACTCCAAGGTTTTGCTGATATTAGTTATTTGTGCCACCGGAGGTCGCGGTGCAGTAGCCAGCATGCCTGCAAAGTCGAAGTTCACTTCCGGTTTAGAAACCGGACGTGTTGAGCTGGCAGTTCACTTGTTGAATCTTCGCTTTCACTGCCATCTTTTCCGCCCGATAAGACATTGCTTATGCTTTTATAAAAGTTCGCTTAAGTCTTTAAAAGTTAATTTGCTCTAACGCCTTTACAATCTGGCATTGTACTGGTTGAAATCAGCCATCCGCTCACACGCCGCCACTTTCTGCCCCTCAAATGCTTTTAAGTCTTATTTGCCGTTTTCGAGGGGTGGGTAGCTTTCCCCCCCCCTCTGCTTTTTCTTGGGGGCACCCAGGCTGGCACCTTACTCACACTCCGCTTTGTCAGGTAAGAGAAAATCTTTTTGTTTTCGCCCGGTCAGTTCCTCGCTGGTTCGGTATGCTCGTCTCATGGCCAGAATGGTACTGTGGCGGCGGGGACCTATCGGGGCAGGGGGGAGCCTCGATCCTCTGGCCTCAGCCTTGGGAGAGGCACCCCCAGTGCCCCAGGCTGAGAGCCCCCTTCAAGGGCTCCGGGGGGAGTCCAGAGCCAGCCAGACTCCCTCCCTGCTGCCGGGTCACGGGCTGCTCTCTCCGAGCTTCGGAGGAGCACGCCCGCCATCAACGTGCCGAAACCGGAACCATCTAGTCCAGCATTTTGTCTCACCCAGTGGCCAACCAGTTCCACTGGAGGACCAACAATGGGGCACAGAGTCCAAGGCCTTCCCCTGAGGTTGCCTCCTGGCTCTGGGATTCAGAGGTTTAGTAACAACCTCTGGCTTTCCCTTTCCCTCCTCAGTTATCGCTACGATGAGGAATCTGGAGAAGAGGGAAGCCCTGGAGAGGGAAGCCGGGCCTGCCTTGGACAAGACGCTGGAAATCAAGGAACTGGACGTGGGCAGCGAGGAGTCGATCCGGCGCTGCGTGGATAGCATCCCCCAGCGCAAGGTGGACGTGCTTGGTAGGAACGCCTCCCCTATTATAGTCCCAAGAAATCCACCCCCTCTTTGTTCTTGGATGAGCAGTCTTCATTTTCTTCCCAATCCTGTGGTGCTATAAAATCCTGTTGCTGGGCCCAGTTCAGAGTCATATTTGCCGGCCCTTGGATGAAGCCACTGTGGCATATAGGGGCAGTTGAGCAGAAGTTGGAGAGCCAGTGTGGGGTAGTGGTTAGAGCATTAAACTAGATCACTGCTCTGCCCTGGAAGCTTGCTGGGTGGCCTTAGGCCAGTGACACGCTCTCAGCCTGACCTACCTCGCAGGGTGGTTGTTGGGAGGATAAAATAGAGGCGAGGAGAAGGATGTCAACCACTTTGAGGAGGAAGAGTGGGACGTAGATGAAGTAGATAAAGTTCATATAGTCAGGCGAAATTCCTGCAGCTTTGGTGGGTCAGGCTGACCGTGAGCTGAGGCGGTCTTGTTTCTGCTTTTCTTCCGGCCGCTGTGTGAGTGTTTCACTGTAAGCAGACTGTGAGTCTCCATGAATCTGGAAACCTTCAAGCCTGCTGGTTTGGTTCTGGGAACCGATCCTTTGCTGTCGCTTTGACTACAAGAGCACCTTGATTAGGGCCCGCCGAGTGTGCTCAACCTTTTCAGTAGGCATTCAGCCTCCAACGACGATGCCAAACAACTTATCTGAGATAATTCTTCCAAACGTAGAAGGGCATTCATGCTAGCACACCTTCCGCTGGGATTTCATACTCAGATCGACTCTGTAGTTACGGCAGCAGTAAAATTGACTCTGTGGATCGTAGTTTGCTTGATGGTCTCAGATTTTCAGCTCTAAGAGATGAACTGATCTCCCCTTTATTTAATCAGGACCTCCTCTCCCCAGAGGCAAAATCATCCTGGTTCCTTAGAGACGAAGACAAATAAACTACCCTGCGTGTGGCAACATTTCTAGCAGCTGTTGTCAAATCACACAACAACTTTTGCAGTAGCAACCTTTAGATTCTTCCATGTTTTCCTGTGGAATGGGGTTTATTGTGGGATGAAGGTTTGCTGTTTATGACTCCGGTTGCAAAAAACCCAGTAAAGACAATAAATAAATAAGATCCTTTGCTGTCGGTTGATTGCCTTTTTGAGACACGCCCAGAATTGCAAAGTACAGAGTAGGTGTGTTAGTTCCCCACCCATACTTGATGGGATAGAACGTGGGTGGGGGGGGAGCTGAACTGCAGAAGGGACCCTGTCCCAGTGTTCCCTGAGTGAGTGTGAGCCAGCTCACAGTTTTTTAGCCTCCGGCTCACACATTTTTTTTTGTCTCAGCTCAGGAAGGATGGCTCCAGAGCAAACCAATTTAGGCAGTGGCCAAATCGCTTGCTCATGACTTTATATTTATTTAATTATTTACTATTAAATTTATACCCCGCCCTACCCAGCCATGGCTGGCTCAGGGCGGCTTACAACAAAAATAAAACCACAATAAATAATGTAAACATAAAACAATTCAACATTAAGAAGGAGCTAGTGGATTGACATTTCAAAGTTAAATTAACATTTAAATTTAAGTTTACATTGAAATTTAAGATGGCGGTTGGCTTTCATTGTACCGTCTTAGTGATCGACCCAGATCTAACATTGTGTGGCTGGCCCAGGCTGATCAGGGAGCGTGGTTCTCCCTCGGGGCAGCTCCTAATTCAAAGCCTGGTGGAAGAGCTCCGTCTTGCAGGCCCTGCGGAACTTTAATGCCGGTAGCTCACAAAGTAGAATTTTTGCTCAAAAAGATTCCACAGCTTAGAGGGAGCATTGGCCCCCTCCTCTCTGTCCTGGTGTTGACGGGCGGTACCCTTTTGGCGAGCGGCTGTAGCCAATCCCCACCTTCCTTTGCAGTGAACAACGCCGGCGTGGGCATGATCGGCCCAGTGGAGAGCCACAGCATGGCTTCTGTCCAGCGCCTCTTCGACACCAATTTCTTTGGAGTGGTACGCCTGATCCGGGAGATCTACCCCGACATGAAGCGGCGCCGCGAGGGCCACATCGTGGTGATGAGCAGCGTCTTGGGGCTGCAAGGTGAGGGGATGTGGGGGGGGACGACTCTGGTGCTAGGTAGGGGCAGGCCGTGGCAAAACCCACCTCCAACGTCTCTTGCCTTGAAAACCCTCAGTTGTCGCCGCAAGTCCGCTGCAACTTGACGGCACTCTTCACCACCACCACAATATACATTTTTGGTACCGTGCCTTCTGTTTGGGCTGTTCCAGGGTAGGGGAAGGGGGCTGTGTGGAGAGCTGATGTCCCAGCCGCTGTAAGTCTTATCTGGCAGCGTTTCTCTGCCTTCCAAGCTTCTGCACAGCCTTGTAACGAGCCTGTTTCCGAATACGTGCAACGAACGAACAAACCGTGCCTAAATAATGAAAACTACTAAATTCAGCAATCAATGAGTACAATACACTAGAGCAGGGGTGATATATCCAGGCACCACCAGGAGGCTGGCATCCAGTGTTCCCTCTAAGCTGAGTCAGTGTGAGCTAGCTCAGTTTTTTAGCCTCCGGTTCACACATTTTTGCCTTCGCTCAGGGAGGATGGGGCTCCAGAGCAATCTAATTGATGCCACAGCCAAATCGCTCGCTCACTACTTTAATGCCGGTAGCCCACAAAATACAATTTTTGCTCACAAGACTCCACAGCTTAGAGCAGGGGTGTCGAACTCATTTGTTATGAGGGCCAGGTCTGACATAAAAGAGACCTTGTTGGGCTGGGCCACGTGTGTCATAGAATGTAATGCCAGGCAGCGGAGATATTAAACTTTATAAAGGACACAAACACAAAGGGATTTTTTACTTAAAATAAAAACATGCTTAAAACATGAGCACTCTTGCAATATCTTGTTTGTTTAACAGTGCCTGATAACTGACACCCCTTGCTCTGAATTATTGTCACAAAATGTCTGTGCTGTTGCAATCTTGAGTATGCTGTTCAGGCATATATATGAAAGCTGCAAACCTACGATGACGCAGCAGCAGGAGAACTGGAAGAAGCAGAAGAGAGCCAGTTCCACTGCGGTCCTGACAGAAGCCCTCCGAGGGCCTGATCCGGCCCCCAGGCCGCATGCTTGACACCCTTGCGCTAGACCCATTCACATAGAGTGTTTTTTCATTCATACAAAATGATAATCAGAAATGCCAAAATACACGGTTCAAATACAAATGCAATTGATGCATCTTCCAAAATAGTCCAAGTCGAATTCCTCAAAAAGTAAACAGTCCAAATATAGATGTTTATAACTCCTCTTCGCATAACCCTCGGCTCACCAGTCCAATCTTCCCTCTAAGCTGAGCTAGTGTGAGCTAGCTCACAGTTTTTTAGCCTCTGGCTCGCACATTTTTGCCTTAGCTCAGGAAGGAGGGGCACCAGAGCAAACTAATCTATGCAGCCGCCAAATCGCTCCCTCACAGCTTTAATGCCAGGAGCTCACAAAGTAGAATTTTTGCTCACAAGGCTCCACAGCTTAGAGGGAGCATTGCTCACCACTTCTGTATCCACAGCCCCGCCGGCTTCAAGGTGCTGTGTCGCCTTGCTTCCTCAAAGTGGAACACCAAACCTGCCCCGCTCCAAACTTGAATCACACACACAGCATCTTTTTCATTCTTAATTTACATGAGACCCAATTACTGCGATGCATCTCACGAGAATGTGAGCTACCAGATGACTCATGTTTCTGAATATGGGCAAAGGCCAAGTGTCTCCGTTGTTGATTCTCTCCCAATTCCCTGCAGGTCTCTTCTTCAACGACTTCTATTGTGCCTCCAAATTTGCGGTGGAGGGATTCTTCGAGAGCCTGGCCCTCCAGGCCCTGAAGTTCGGGGTCAAGTGAGTCCCTGTTTGAAGGGGAAGGGTGGTCCTTTAGCAACGGATGTGTTCCTAAATGCCCCGTCCCTTCATGCTTTCTGCATATGTGCCGTGTTCCCATTTCCTCTGCTACTTCTCTCTTGGTTCTCTGCAGATTCTCAGAAGTCTGTTAGCCCCCAACAGGCACAAGGTTTTCTATTTAGAAAAGAGACAACTATGGGGAGGGGGGACATACACACAGACGTGATGCAGGCTTATAATGCACAAGCTGCAGAAAGTATATTTATTTATTTTATTACCAAATTTGTACCCCACAAAGCAGGCTCAGGGCGGCTTCCGACAAACATCTGTACAGCTTAAAACACAATTATTTAAAAAAACACTACAAATCAACAAGCATGAAGTGCTGGCGGCAATTAAAAGTCACTTAGGTGACACACTTTCAGTGGATTTCCATTTCCCAACATTTTAAGATGTTCTGCTCGTAGTTTCCTTAAGGCAGCAACTCGAGGGTGGATCATGGGCCAGATGCCGCAACGGTCGGGCGATCCAATGGCAGCGGCCCCTAATTGAACGCCTGGCGGAAGAGCTCCGTCTTACAGGAGGGCAGCCGAGATGATGAGGGGGTTGGAGCCCCTTCCCTACGAGGAAAGGCTGAAGAGTCTCTGGGGCTTCTCAGTTGAGAAGAGAGACGACTAAAAGGGGACGTGACGGAGGTTTATAAAACTCTGTCTGGGGTGGAGAGAATTGTAGGTGCGCCACTAGTTGTTCTAAAAGCAATCAGTTACCATAAATGAAGAGTATTCGTTACATCTGGTATTTCTTCTTGAGAGACAAGGTATGAAAACTCTGTATGGGGTGGAGAGAATTGTAGGTGCGCCACTAGTTGTTCTAAAAGCAATCAGTTACCATAAATGAAGAGTATTCGTTACATCTGGTATTTCTTCTTGAGAGACAAGGTATGATAAAATTGGTAACCGTATAATAGAGAACTCACTATACCCAGCACCAGTATCTGTTGATTTCGCTATATCCGTTGCTTTCTCCATTATATATAAGTTCCATAACTTGTTATGCCATAAACTTATTCCTGGATGTTTGGGGCAGTTCCTAGGGGGAGCAGAGTTTGGAGAGGAAGCTCAGCAGAGACGTAATGCCACAGAGCGGGGGAGGGGGTGGAGGGTCCCCAACCTTTTTGAGTCTGCAGGCACCTGTGGAATTCTGACACAGCGTGGTGGGCGCAGCCAGGGCCGGCCCGAGGTTTTTCGGCGCCCTAGGCAAAACTAGCGCCCCCGCCAGGCGAGGCTGCCTTGTGGCGCCCTCCCTCACCTTGTGTCTCCCCCCGCCGCCGCGGTCTCCCCCCACCCAGCGGACCCAAAATGGGGCCTCTGACCTCTGGCCCCTGCCCCCTCCACTTGCTGGGGGCGCGGGGGCCGTTTGCAGAAGCCGAGCTTGGCGCCCCCGCCCCGGTCTGGAAGTTTGGCCTCGGTGGGGAGTGGAAAGGCCGCACCTGAGCAGGACCCACCCCTGCCGCTCCTCCCCCCGGCCATGTGCGTCTCTGGGGGGCCGTTTGCACAGGGCGGCCCTCCCTCTCTGGGCACTTCGCAGCATGGGGGCCAGGCCGGCTGCAACCCAGCCCGGGGAGGGGGGTCTTTAGAGTGGGGCCAGCGGGGGAGGGACGAGCCAAAAGTTGGCCGTAGCATAGGGGGGTTGGGGGTTGCACCACGGGGGAAAGTTTGAGCGGAGGATGGAGGGGGGCGGCTGGCAGACCGGCAGAGGAACAAAGGCAAGGGGGGGAGCGCCTTCCGACCAGGGGGGGGGGTTGGCGGTTGTGGGGCGGCCTGCTCTAGGCGAACGCCTAGTGAGCGAGCCGGCCCTGGGCACAGCCACAAAATGGCTACTGCGGAAGGTGGAGCCAGTTGCAAAACGGCTGCCGTAGTTTACCTTCAGTGACACAGTCCTTGTGCTGTGGAGGCAGCTGCCACCAAAGCACTGTTTTTTAAAAATTTGCACAGCCAATCGGATTGCCAGTGGCCAACCTTCTGGGCTGAAGGCCCACCTCGCACCACCCACAACCTAAAAACACAGCAGGCACGATGGCGCCCATTGGGACCCCTGCCATAGAGTCTGCCCTCCAAAGCCACCGTTTCCTCTAGGGGAAGTGATGTCTAGAGACCAGTTGCAGTTCCAGCAAGAATCCAGGCCCCACCTGGAGGCTGAAGCCAACCCGAGCTGCAGGGTTAGGAGAGTCTAGTAACAAATAAATATACACTGCAAAAACCTTTTAACAAACTAATGTGTTCTATTTATCGTCATCATTTAGTGAAGTGCATAGTGTGTCATTATTTCATCCTAGGTAAAGGTAAAGGTTCCCTTGCTCGAAAGCCAGTCGAGTCCGACTCTAGGGTTGCGGGGCTCATCTCCGTTTCAAAGCCGAAGAGCCAGCGCTGTCCAAAGACGTTTCCGTGGTCACGTGGCCGGCATGACTAAACACCAAGGTGCACGGAACGCTGTTCCCTTCCCACCGAAGCAGTACCTATTTATCTACTTGCAATTTCTTGCTTTCGAACTGCTAGGTTGGCAGGGGCTGGAACTAGAGACGGGAGCTCACTCCGTCATGCGGCACCCAGGTCTCGAACTGCTGAACTACCGACCTTCCACAGCCTGCAGTTCAGCGTCTTAACCCCTTGAGCCACCGCAGATCCTTATTTCATCCTAGTCAGGTATAAATATTCATTACATTCAGTAAGCAATACAGATTGCTAGCTACCAGACAATTTTGCATCAGTGTTTTAAAAGTCAAATAGAAAATATTAGTTTGTTAAAAAGGTTTTTGCAGCGTATATTTATTTGTTACTAGACCCAACTGTAGGCTGGCAACGATGCCTGTTTTCTCCTTCGCCTCCAGTTTAAAAGAACCGGGCAGTAGGTGATGGGAAAGGCCTCTGCCTGAAACCCTGGAGAGCGGTTGCCTGCCTGAGTAGACAATACCCACTTTGATGAACCAAAAGGTCTGACTCAGTATATGGCAGCTTGACTCTTCCTCCTAATCTCTATAGAGACCAAAGATGGCGCTGAGGCTGTAGCACTGATTAACAACGCTCCACAAGTTACTTTCTTATTTTTTTCTTACTCCCACCTATGCTTCTCATATGGAGCTGCGGTGGCTCAAGTGGTTAAGACGCTGAACTGCAGGCTGTGGAAGGTCAGTAGTTCAGCAGTTCAAGACCCGGGTGCCGCAAGACAGGGTGAGCTCCTGTCTCTAGTTCCAGCTCCTGCCAACCTAGCAGTTCGAAAGCAAGAAATTGCAAGTAGATAAATAGGTACCACTTTGGTGGGAAGGGAACAGCGTTCCGTGCGCCTTGGTGTTAAGTCATGCCGGCCACATGACCACGGAAACGTCTTCGGACAGCGCTGGCTCTTCGGCTTTGAAACGGAGATGAGCACCGCAACCCTAGAGTCAGATTCGACTGGCTTTCGAGCAAGGGAACCTTTACCTTTCCCTTTATACTTCTCATGTCTTCGTAATTTATCTTCGTTAGTTATTGCCGTTTATATTATCCGGGCTGGCTGCTCCTGAACATTTGAATTTCAATCTCACTCCTACGGGCTCCAAGTTTTACTGGTGAGATAAGCCTGGGAAATGTTTTATGGGAAACAGCAGCTAGAATAGAGTTTTCTGCTCTAATTGCCTTAACTGAAACGGCAAGAATTTATCAACAATACAACAGCCTGCAAGGATATAACAACAGTATAACAGCTACAACAGCTATAATAGCTATTTTACCTTAAAGAAACATATTCCTGTAGCTTACTCACAAGTAGGATGGATTTAACAAAAAGAAGCAAGAGAGCTCGAGATATAGAAGATACAACTCCTCTTCCAGTAAGTAAACAGAGGAAGATAAAGGATTATTTTGTAACCAAGGAGACCAGGGAAACCCTAGTTTTTAATATTCCTATATCAAACAGATATGCTCCTCTTGATCAAGCTGCTACCCTAGAGTACACTTCGAACACGCCTCCTGATTCAGCTACTATTCCAGAGTGTAACGTGGATACTCAAGTGTTACAACAATTATCTACGAAAGCAGGGCTGCCTGACAACTTAGGGATGGATTTATGTATGTTAACTGCAGAGACAGTTAAATGTATATTTGAAATAAGTATATGGCAGCTTCATGTGTGTTCATGTGATTCCCCAGCATCAGTTTAATTGAACCGGGACCGGTCATATCAGAGTTCGAGAGGAAGCTCTATGAAGAGGTAAAAAACCTGGATCTCTCTGCAGTGGATAAGGAGACGCAGGATCTGTTCCAGGGCCTCTACATGTCCTACTCCAAGGACGTCTTCACAGCGCTGGGGCAGTCTTCAGAAGAGGTGGCGGAGGTAAGTCCTGACCCCTGATCTATTTGCACCTGGAAAAAACTAGCCCGAGTTGTGGGATGCTAGCAGTGCTCTGAAGAACCAACCAAAGGGTCTGCTTTTGCCTTTGACTGCCGTTGTACTGACTTGCAGGCTCTGAGTACCAAGTTTCAGAAGTCAGACAGGGCAGGCTCGTTCAATCCAAGGTCAGGCTTCCGAGAATTAGGCAAGGCAGAGTCAGAGGCTTGGCGTCTATCATACGCATTGCACCCACCCCTAACAGCCTCTCTTGGCTGGTTTTTATAGTCCTGTGCCTAAGGGTCATGCTTGCAGCCAGCTGCTCAGAAGTAATCCTGCAACTACTCATCTTTGTCTCAGGAGGCATGCACTCTGCCTTCTTGCCTGTAGTCCTGTTCCCAGCCTCTGTCTGCGGCACTCGAAGAGTGTAGGAGATATTTGTGGGCTGGGAACGGCGAACTGAGGTTCGCCTGATGAATCAGGGTTGGAGGGTGGCTCTGTTGTTGTGAGTCCTGCAGCTCATTCTCTTGCAGGTTGACTTCTGTGAATTCAAGGCTGGCTGTACGGGGCTCCTCTTCTCCCGAGGAGTCCTCGCTATTGCTGAGCCTGGGCTGGCCCACGACAGCTGGCTTTGTCATTGCTAGACAGATCGGGAAGGGGGAGGGATAGGCGAGGTCATATCTGCACCCCTGCCGTGGAGAGAGCAAGGGGTGGAACCAGGCCAGCTCTTCCACCACCCCCTCCTCCACCCCAGAATAACCAGGGATGGCAAGGGGCCATGGGGTATAAATCCAATCTCTTCTTCTCTTCTTAATGGATTCCAGTTTGGTGTCGTGGTTAAGTGCGCAGACTCTAATCTGGGAGAACCGGGTTTGATTCCCCACTCCTCCACTCGCAGCTGGTGGATGACCTTGGGCAAGCCGTAGTTCTGACAAGAGCTGTCCTTGAAAA